CTTTCAGTGCTATCAGGCTAAAGTTAGCATTTTCCAAGATCTCCTATTGTACCTTTAAATAATTAAATAACAGTTGGATATTATTGTGGTGTGCCCTTGATTTGGTGTGTTATTGCTTGATTTTTTTAGGCTCACAGCTCTTAGTATAATGAATAAAATCTCTTCCTTTGAGAGGGTTCTGATACAGTTAGCCTTTAGAGATATTCATTTCACTGCCAAATTAAACCAGAGCAGGCCATGCGATGATGCATCTGACAACTGTTACAATGCATTTTTAGATATTGTAACTTTTTGTTGCCCAAATATATAACCCATAGAACTATGTATGTTGCTATAGAAGTCTTAACAGCCTATAAACGTTATTGTAGTTTGTAGCATTACAACAGAAAATAAGTAAAGTAATACGTTTTTAAAAAGTGAAGGATTTTAAATGGATAAGTTAATGATTGAAATGCATTATCATATTGTGTGTGATATTGTACATTACAGCTGTTATTCTTATAGGTTGCGGTAAAATTACAAACCTTTTGCAGGGTCATTCAGAAATGTCTTTTGTGACTTTTTTTTAACAACATCAAGTGAAATGGCTATGCACAAATGTCATGACAACACATGTTTATTTACCTAAGATGCTTTGCAATTTATGTTATGTATATAAGTTATATTTCCACATTTTGATGTTTTTGCTAATGCATTTGTAAGTTATCATGTTTTGCATTGGATTATTAAAGACTATGCAAGTCTGCTTGTTCAGAAAACCATCTCGTCTTGCTATCTTTACTCCATAGTGTTCCATTTTAAACCTCCTCATTAAAAATTCAAGTTCATTTCTAGGTAAAATTAATTTCTGAGTCCTCCTGGAAGTCTGAACAATTTGCAGGGTTCATTAATACAGTTGACAGCTGTAATTTTAAATGACATTGTGATCATACCTCTTTGTTACTCTGGTGTATGCAGTATAAAATAGTCCAGATGTAAGCTCCATCTGTTTCATCAATGCAGCACCTATAACCTTGAGTGCCTGCAGTTTTTCTTTAGCTCATCTGATCGTGGAGGATAAATGACATGAGATGTAACGTGGTGTCAAGAGAGAGAAATCTGCATAATTATCTGCATCAGTCACTGTCTTGTTTGTTAAACAGATAAATAATTTTCCCTGCTGCCTCTCATCTGATTACCTACGATTTAGGTTTGATATTACAGTATTTATGCCGTTTTTTCCGTGTAATAACAAAGTGAAATTGATCTGTGAGGGGTATGTTTTATTACGCTGATGACAGATTATTGTCTGAGCATACAGGAAGGGATGGGGGACTCACAGTGATGTTTTAGGTAGGCCGTTGATTTGTTGGACAGACAGTTCTCAAGCTTTAACTAGATTCTGCAGGGAGAGAGGGAGACAGAGTAAGTCAGAGCAAATCATTTCTGCTGCTGCCCAGAATAACCCAGAAAAAAAAGATAATAATCACGTGTATGACCAGTGGTTTAAACCCTTTAGGATTACCTCTAGATGTCTCAATCTGTTATATAGGTCTGTCTGGCTACAGATGTGCTCAGCCCACAAACAGAATCTTGTACAAAAATCAAATAAAAATGCTTCTTATTCTCCAAAAATGTGTTACAATTAAACCAACAGTTAAACTAATAATTTTATTAAGATGACAATAATCATTATATAAAACTAAAATTGTTGCAGTACATTTTACAAAAAAAAAAAAAAAATCTACTTCAAAATATCATGTTTAATTTAATGTCTTACTTGCCATTTCTTTGTAATTATTTGTGGAATTTATTAGCAATTTCTGAGTGAAAATTATTTTTACACCATGTTTATTATTTTCAAACTAATGTATTTGTGCAGTCAACATTATCCCATGGTCAAACAAAGTGTGATTACAGTATGTTCAGATCTCTCTGTTTTAGACTCATAAATGTGAGGAACTATTTGTGCCACCACTTTGACCAAAGTATTTGGCACTCATGCCTTTCGGCCACTAGGCGGAGCCAAAGAGAGACATAAATGAGACAATGGCCTGTACGTTTGCAAGTTTGCACAATTTAAAAGCTTTGAAACTGAAATATATCAGTTTACCCACACATCATTTGAAAATACTTATGATAAATGTTCGATAAAAGTTTTTTTGTCAAATAATCTACACTGAATGAGGAAGTGGCAAAGTTAAGTATCTTTTCAGGCCCACTCTTTCACTGATGCACTGAGCACAGCAAGTATCTGAGCTTCAGGAGTATTGATGAGTTTGAAGAATAGGACAATAACATGGGCAAGATGCAGAGTGAGCTGATCCTAAATGCTGATTCTGACAAAGCAAAATGAACAGCACACTGAAGAAAATTTATATATATATATATATATATATTGCAAAACATTTGCTAATTTAGTTGTTATAGCACAAAATGTAAAATATTAAAAAAAGGAGTAAGATGGTCCTTACTAGAGTTGGCCCCCTACCCGGGTTGAAAAGCCTAAATGTGACAAAACGACAAAATTAAAAATAGTATAGGCATTCAATCATATATATATATATATATATATATAGAGAGAGAGAGAGAGAGAGAGAGATAAATATAGATATATACTTATACATTGTAGATACTAAAATCTTCTTTACTTCTCTACAAACTACCAATAACCTACATTAAATCACTGGGTAGTATTTTTGGTGATTTAGTCATTTTTTTATGCATGCATCATAAGGTTAAAATACTGGGTCAGACAGGGGCCACTTATGCTTTTAAGGGGCACACTTTAGCATTTATCTTCAGGTACTTTCAGGATTATTTCAAGTCATTTTTTACTGTCATGTATCACTACAATCTCTAGATGCATAGGCAGAGAGTGAACCAACTCCAGGGTAAGGCTAAAAGTATCCAAGTGCAATCTATTAACTGCACACATCATAAACCCATCATTTTAGGCAAGTACCAGATATGGGTGTCAGGTCATAAAATATTTTTAATGAGGCTGAATTTGTATTTAACATGATCACAATTTAATAAAAACATTGTAAGTATCGCAAAATATAGTGAATATAGTTAATTACAGCAGAATTATACAGGGCTACAGAAATTAAGCAAGCAAAGAACATTAACATTATCAAAAAACATTATCACTGACTTCAGTCTAGAGCAATTTTAAAGGGATAGTTCACCCAAAAATGAAAATTCTTTCATTAATTACTCACCCTCATGTCGTTCCAAATCCGTAAGACCTCCGTTCATCTTCGAAACACAGATTAAGATATTTTTGATGGAATTTGAGAGCTGTCTTACCCTGCATAGACAGCAACGCAACTGAAATGTTCCCAAGTCCAGAAACGTAGCAAGGAGATCGGTAAAATAATCCATGTGACATCAGTGGTTCAACCGCTGTGGACACCACAATACGCTGTTTATGTCCAGCGGATATTCTCCAAAATGGCACCAGGGTGATGCCACCGGAGGAGACAAATTGTTGAATACAGTCGTTATTTTTTTTTCTTTTGTGCACAAAATGTATTCTCATAGCTTCGTATAATAGCGGTTGAACCATTGATGTCACATGGATTATTTTACAGATTACTTGCTACGTTTCTGGACTTGGGAACATTTCAGTTGCGTTGCTGTCTATGCAGGGTGAGACAGCTCTCAGATTCCATCAAAAATATCTAAATTGGTGTTCCGAAGATGAACGAAGGTCTTAAGGGTTTGAAACGACATGAGGGTGAGTAATTAATGACAGAATTTTCATTTTTGGGTGAACTAACCCTTTAAAGGCTTTAACTATGATAAACTGCAAGACATATTTAGTGTCTGTGCGATCTACAAGCTGAAGTGTATTACAGTGAAATACATTTTTCACAATGCATTGCATGTAAATAAATACATGAAAAAGTGTTTAGCTTTATCTAAAGATGTCAATCCGCGTGATCGCTGTTGTGAGCGCATGTCTGCTCGCTCCATTCTCTCTCTTTCAGAAGGTGTGACGTGAAGGCAATTAGCCCTCAGATTCTCAGAGAGGGCTGGTGAGAGACAGGCAGCGCCCGCTTATCACACGCGCACTCCTGCAAAACAACACCAGTCTTAATCTAAAACGAGACTTTTATTAACGTGGCGTCACTCCAATTAAAGCATCGCGGAACAACATGAATCTGCTCATACTGGCAACTCTTTTCTCAATGGTTTTGGCCGAAAAATCACCTCGGCTGAAATTCACCGTAATGGGTAAGATTTTGTTTTTCTTCGGTGCAATAGTTTCAGTCTGCATATGGATTCTGTGGAGAGTTCTGGAAATTTCTCGTTCTCAGTCTCTGATGTTTATCCTTACTAAAGCAGAAATTGCTAATCTTATTTTCCCCTCGGGAAAACAAAAACTGCTGCGTAATAAGACTTCCAGTTCCATTAGGATATAAGAAACAGAAGAAGTCAGATCACATTGTTAGTAAATGGAAGCAGGCCAAGATGGGGCACTGATTGCTTTGCATTGCTGTTTTGAAAACAAAAACCGATTAAGGCTCATATGCACGTCATGACTTCACTTTATGACGTATATGTGGTATTAATCATGGTTAAGAGTTCATAAGCCTATATTAGATTACAATGATAAAAAAATACAGTAAACGCAAAGCGTTAAGTACTGACAAATAGTGATGGAGCCAACATTTTAACTGAACGTATCTAACCGAAGGTTCATACAAGGATGCTGGAAGGATTTTTGACTGTGTATCCATACTAACATATCTTTAAGACATGTTAGTAATGTTGTTCAAGAGCGAGTAGTCTGCTTGGGATGTATGAGTAAACAAGCTTCTGAATCTTCCTGGAGGCTACAGAATAAGTAATTTTCTGAAATGACCATTCGCTTCTTAACTAAACCTGTAAATCTATTGAATGACGTTGCTGATTTTCAACGCAGTTTTCGTGTAGAATACGCTGCACGTGGGTTTGATTTAAGAAAATCATAGGACGCAATCTACAGAGCTGCAATGCAGGTGCGCGAGCTAACGGGAATGATGGCACTGCAGCAACTGATGCATTTCCAAGACTCAGGGCACAACATGTGATGCAAGGAAAAACACACTCGCAGAAGAGAATAGCCCATGGAAAATTCCACGAAACCTACCACTATTATCTATTCCAAGCACGTTCACAGTCTTAAGTCTATGTCGATACAGCCAGTATGGGTCATGCGATTCACAAGTGTTTATTTGAAAACATCAACATGTCTCACGGTCATCGCCCTCAGTGTTACGTGATGCTACAACCACTCACAATTACAGATATGAGAAAGCAACGAGAAAGACCAATATGAGTCTCCAGTGAGCTTGTAGGTTTTGACCGCCCACTTGAGCACCATGGACAACGACGCACGTATTCCCTGAAATCACGAAGGATGAGATGGCGGGACAAATAATCTCATAAACTAAAGTACTGTGCTATGGAAAACGACACCTTCGTATGCAAATAGAAACCGGATCAGACTGGTCTGCAGGCTTTTTCGACCTCGCCAGCCCCCGCTTCGAATAGCGAGTTATTGATTAAGATGAAATCTCTACCAGCGCAGACCGAGACAAACACCTGTTGCAACATGTTAGTTTTATGAAATAATCACAAATCCCCGCTTTATAGAATGTAGTGGAAATAATTTATAGTTTTACATAACTGTTGCCCCTGACAACCACATTTGACCGTTTTCTTCATTTAGGTCAGATGACAAACACCCACTACAGTGGCTTAGGCATTTGAATGAATCATTTAGATAATTTAGATCTCAACTGATTGTGCTCCAAAACCCATTTTACCGTGAAAATCAACTAAAATCCCTTAAATAATATAGCATAATGTTTAACATACATTTAGTAAGTGCATAACACCCACAATATTCAAAATGATTTACAACAGGCAGAAAAGGAAAATCGACAGTCTTGTTAAAGGAATAGTTCACCCAAGATGTAGATGAGTTTTTCTTCATCTGAACAGATTTGGATAAATTTGACATTACATCACTTGCTCACCAATGGATCCTCTGCAGTGAATGGGTGCCGTCAGAATAAGAGTCCAAATAGCTGATAAGCATCACAATAATCCACAAGTAATGCACACAACATAAATTAACATTGAAGTAAAAACCTGCATATTTTAATCCATCTTTAAGACATTTTTAACTTAAAAACCATTGCTTCCAGCTAAAATATGAGTCCATAAGCCATAATATTGCTTTCTCCAGTGAAGAAAATGTTGTCTTGTCTGAGTCAATCTGAAATATGCACAGATCAAATGTAAACAGTTCAAAACAATTCTAAACAAAGATGTTGGTGGATTTTAATTTGGGAGGACAACAGGTGATGCACTTTTTCACTGGATGAAGCATTATTATGGATTATGGACTAGTATTTCGCAAGAAGCATCTTAATGATGGATTTGTTTTTTACAAACATGCAACTTTTCAATTCACAGTTGACTCACTTTGATAACTGATGGACTGGATTACTTGTGGCTCATTGTTTTTATCAACTGTTTGAACTCTCATTCTGACTGCACCCAGAGGATCCACTGGCGAGCAAGTGATGTAATGCTACATTTTTCCAAATCTGTTCTGATGACGTATCCAACTCATCTACATTTTTGATGGCCTGTGGGTGAGTAAAACTATTTCTTTAATGTACTGTATACATTGGTTGCAACACTGTTTCAAATATTCAGTTAATATTAGCTTAGAGTTTGGATGCACAGCCTTTTATCTCAACAATAAAAGATACATGAAGCATTTAATGCATTTAAATGATCTCATATAAAAAGCTTATTTATTTTGCTATCCTAACTATACATATTTTTTATGTCTAGTTGTATTTTATTATTTGCATAGTCCTTCCCTGTGACCCATTTTTGAATTGCAACCCTCCTGTTCAGAACCACTATTTTCGTAGTCACACATTATTTATTCATGCAGCATGTGAATATATACATTTAAAGACTGCCAGAAAATGTTTTATACACTGCATTTCTGTCAATTTCTCTATAGAGTCACCTCGGTTTCGCTTCATGAAACCGGAGAACTACACAACGGTTTACCACCTACAGGAAACTGATGTCCTGTATGTGGGGGGCCAAGGGGTCATCTATAAGCTCACCTTCAGTGATAAAGGAGTGCATGACACGCAGGTAGGGGAGCTGACACAATAACCTGGAGCCAAAGTAGATCTATCACTGCTCTAAATCCTGACCTAGATAGCTGGTACTCAGTAAGTAGCAAAAATATGCTATTATTTATGGAGCAGAACAATGCTTTATAATGGAAACTCCCTGAAACGATTACTTGTGGTTGCATAAAAGCAAGCATTTCTTGTCAAGGAGGGATAGTTATGGTTTATTATTATTTTACTGTCACCATAAAACTTTATGACCTGTTTCTCACTGTAATTATAGAATATAGCATTAACATGATGAGAAGAATTCATCGCTACATTATTATGTATGCAAGCCAGCATGATTAGTATGTTTTTGATGTGCTCACAGATCCATGCGGTAATGGATGAGAATGCAAAAGAGACGTGTGTCTCTAATAACTTGCGTTACTGAGATTGTAACGAGTAATAATATTACCCAAATTTGATTAGTAATGCGTTATATTACTGCGTTACAGCAAAACGTAATATACTACTGTAATATTATTACTTTTGTAATGCGTTACTCCCAACACTGATTGCAAACATTGCTAAATTTGAATCAAAGTTTAAGGGAATCTTTTGACAGAACTGTAGTCACAGAGGTTTGGCTGATGGATATACTTATCTCTCTCTCCTCATTTAGATGGGAATCTGTACTCTGCTCTGTCAGCGGTTGCAGGACATACTGGCTCTATCCGTCGCACATATGGCTCCAAAAAGCAGCTGAAGACAGAGAATAAATGGTTACAGAGTGAGTTGACAGTTGTTATCTAAACGGGATTAGCAAAGATTTTCATGAAGGACTGAACTAATGGATTCACCTGTGCTATGTCAGTTACTATTTAATCTGATACAGTAAAGTACTGTAAAAGCTGACACAATAACCTGGAGCCAAAGTAGATCTATCACTGCTCTAAATCCTGACCTAGATAGCTGGTACTCAGTAAGTAGCAAAAATATGCTATTATTTATGGAGCAGAACAATGCTTTATAATGGAAACTCCCTGAAACGATTACTTGTGGTTGCATAAAAGCAAGCATTTCTTGTCAAGGAGGGATAGTTATGGTTTATTATTATTTTACTGTCACCATAAAACTTTATGACCTGTTTCTCACTGTAATTATAGAATATAGCATTAACATGATGAGAAGAATTCATCGCTACATTATTATGTATGCAAGCCAGCATGATTAGTATGTTTTTGATGTGCTCACAGATCCATGCGGTAATGGATGAGAATGCAAAAGAGACGTGTGTCTCTAAATCCCCAGCATGGAAGGTAAGAGAAACAATATTCTCAATCTCACAATATTCAGTCAATTCAGACCTCAAGTTGCTTGTGAGAATCTGATTATCTTGACTCATTTAAGCCTAGTGATTCAGTGCACTCACAAATCTAACCACAAGAAATGACTAGTGTCCAGTTATCCGTTTCTCATAAACCCTCTGAGTGAATTACACTCATCAGGTTTAGCTGGAGTAGAATAAATACAGAATTCTGAAACTGTAATCAGAACATTTGTGAACATGTTTCCCACACGCTCCTCATTATGCAAGCTGGAGCCTGGCTGGATTCACTGCCCTGGTTCAACATATACAGAAATAGTCATCCATGATGAGCAGGTCATCACTCAGAGTTGACTGAATGAGGCTATTTTTTTAAGGGTAATGGCACAGACAGCCAACTGATGAGTGATGGGCTTCTTTAAATATCTAAATAAAGATGGTGGTTAGGAGTTTTTAAGTCAATCATTCTGAAAAACAAACTTGATTATGTTCACAAAATCCAGTTTAGTATAGACAAAAGTAAAAATGTCCACACTGGATGACATACTGTGTTTAACAACTATATCTATTTCTTTAATTTGTAATATATGATGTCTATATGTTTTGCATTGACACATATTGTGTTCTTTCATCTTTCTGTAGCAAGAGTGTGCTAATTTCATCACAGTAATTGAGAGAGTTGGTGATTCGTTCGTGGTGTGTGGGACAAGAGCAGGTGCTCCTAAATGTTGGCTCCTGGTAAGATGCCTTACCTGCCATTATATATGCGACTATCTCAGTCCTGAAGCAATTTAAACTCCATCTGTAAGCAAACCACAAAAGTGTTTAAGATTAAGATGTGTCTTTCTTTGTTAGTGTCTATATTTGCATGTATGCATTTGGCAAAGCAACTTAGACTACATTCAGAGGACACATTGAATCAATTCTTGCTTTCCTTGAGAATCAAACCCTTGACTTTGGTGTTGCCAGTGTAATGCTCTACTGTTTGAGACACAGGAAGGCCAAATTATCTACTATTCTGTAATTGCAGAAATTAAAAAAAAGAAGAAAAAAAACATGCACACCACAGCTGCTCAATGCAGACATTTCACATTCCTTTAATATCACAAATTGTTGTGAAGACACTTATCGAATGTAAGTTGTTTCAATCGCTTTAGCATTTTCTGTGGATTACAGGAAGGAGCAAAGGAAAATGAGGCTAGTTTTCCCTGCGAGCTCAGCTGCTTTGGCAGAATTCAGGCTATTTATTTAACTGCTTCTGTATTATTGTGCACATTTTCATAACCTTAGTGTGTCTCTGCCGTGGGTGTGATTTATAACCCAACCATTTAACAGTTTCCTTAGGATGAAAACCAGACAGAATGGAAAGCAATACAATAAAATGAGAGTTTGACATCCTGAAATGTGGGACGCACATTTGGTGTATGAATAAGATTATGGAAAAAAGTTTTCAGCATATTTTCTGCTAAAAAGTGGCCTGATTTCTCCAAGTGCTGCAGTGCCTATGCTGTTTTTTTTTATGAAAAGCCTAAGAAGTAGTGAATAATCCCATCATCTCTCTCACCCAGGTAAATGACAGTGTATTGACGGACATGCCGGAGGAAACAGCAGCGTCTAACATCTTGGCACCTTTCCCTTTTCAGCGGTCCATCAGTCTGTCAGCAGGTAGAAGGAGGATGGGAATGGAGAAAGGGAAAAGAAAGGATATAATGCAAGGAAGACGAGAGAGAATGTTATTTGTTCAAATTTTTCATTTAGTTCCTTCATTTTGATAGGTATTTAAGTACATCAGACTATAATGTAACTTTTAATGAGTAAATGACATAAATGACATCCCTCAGAGAACAGAGATCCATTTGTTATAAACAATGCATTATAGGCTCAGCGCATCAAAACTGGTCAGTTCTCTACTGAAAATATACCGTGTAGCGGATGAAATAACAAAAAGAACAACAATCCCTGTAGTATATGACAAAGAGAGCTTTCGCCCTCCTATTTAAAGTTCTAAATGTCAGGTACAAAATTGAGTATTTTATATGCCATGTGAGGTTAGCAGAGCTGAAAGGTCAACACTGATTCTGAAAGAAGTTGCATGTCTCAACAATGTCTCTAACTGTCAGTCAGAAGGAAGTAGAAGCAGCGCTGCCATGAAATTGCTTTGTGTGTGCATTCACAGGCCTCTTTTTTTAGTTTGAGTATCAAAGTATTGCAAACAGTGTTGGGCAAGTTACTTCCAAAATGTAATACATTATATATTACTAGTTACTGTCTTTTGAAAGTAATTAGTTACATTACAATATTACTGTCTCTGAATTGTAATGCGTTACACTACTTTTGAGTTACTTTTGAGTTACTTTCACAAAAAGCAGCTGAAGACAGAGAATAAATGGTTACAGAGTGAGTTGACAGTTGTTATCTAAACGGGATTAGCAAAGATTTTCATGAAGGACTGAACTAATGGATTCACCTGTGCTATGTCAGTTACTATTTAATCTGATACAGTAAAGTACTGTAAAACGGAGTTTGTTTGAAAATTCTGGAGTGACACCCCCCCCTAACATATATAAATAAAATATACTGATTTTTTTAATGTTTCAAAACAAGTCACTTACTGTATGTTCACCAAGGCTGGATTTATTTGATCAAAAATCAAAAATAGAGAAAAAAAGACATAATATTGTGAAATAGTATTACAATTATAAAAATAAGCGTTTCTATTTTAATATATAATTTATTCTTGTGGTGTCAAAGCTAACTTTTCAATCAAAAGACTTTTGAATGGTAGTATACGGAACATATATTACAATATATATTATAAATTATTCATTTGAATTTTACTAGTAGTCCAACCCCAGTCTTATGTCATTCAGGATGAGTGAATGTTGCATGATATGCCTTTCAAACACCAATATTGATAGCAGCACCACAGTGTTTACAGTTTTGGTGAACTCAACTCACAAATGACAAATTAAATCTCTGCATATTAATATGAGATAGGAGAAGACATTTTAAACATTAAAAAAATCCAATTTCAACCAAGGTATAGGTTCCAAGTCTAATGCAAGTTTGAGTCTTTGAAAATAATACATTTGCTCTCACCATCTCCCTCAGATCCCCAGTTTGCAGGAGCCGCTGTGATACCACACACAGAGAAACTCAAAGATGAGATCTATTTCTTCTTCAGTGAGGTCAACAGTACAGCCAGTCTAGATGAAGAGCCATACAGGGCTCGCATAGGGCGAGTCTGCATGGTAACAATCTTTTATGCATTCTTGCTTCATATACACTGCTGTGAGGACTCTAGGTTTTTGATAACCTTTGCATCTGTGGCTCAGGTTGATGAGGGAGGGCTTCAGAACGTGCTGCCAAACTCCTGGACTACGTTCCTGAAGGCACGTGTGATGTGTGGGAAAGCTGGAACTCCTGTACAGTACAACAACTTCAAGCAGGCTTTCGTTCTGTCCTCTCATCAACGCACTGGGTTGATATACGGCATCTTCTCCAATGTTTGGTAAGCAGATGGGAAGTCAAAAAGTGAGTAGGAAGACATTTGACATCAGGCTGCTGAAATAAAGCCTTCAGCAAGACTACATTATACACCAAAAATACATCCCTATAGATTTTTACTCAAAACATTGACAAAAACAATGTCAGTCGTGCTCACTTCAAGCTTACTTTTTTAAAAGGTATATACAAATATTGTTACCATATCAATCAATATTACAATTTTTATTTTTTAATTTATCAGTATTGGTTCGATCTCGGAAATTTAATGCATGTTTAGTGCACACTGATTTTTCACTATTGTTATATTAACACTGGTAAATGTAATCTTTAGCAGATCTCTGAATAATATCCATTTTTCATACTGTTCATTATAATGTTGGGGGTCCTAAATACACTTGTTTCATTTGAAACAACCAAATTTTTATTTCGTTTTTTATTTTATTTAATAAATTTATTTTTAAGTATAGTAAATAGTTATTGGTCAAAACATAAAAATAATTATAATTTTATCTGTATTAACCAGAATTTTAATGTCTGTGCATTGCTGCTGTACTTGACTCATTACATTAATCTGTAACTGATTAAAGCAATAATTCACACAAGAATGAAAATTAGCTGTACATTTACTCACCCTCAGGCCATCCAAAATGTTTGTTGTATCGAAACATGTTTGGAGAAATTTAGCATTTCATCACTTGTTCACCAGAGAATCCTGTTAAAAACAAATCCATCATTCACTAATATTAAATAGTCCATAATTCAGAACAACTTGCAAAAATTGTCTTGAATTATTCCTTTAAGATCCATTTCCACATTTATGTCTTTCCACAGGAACACCACTGTAGTGTGTGCCTACTCCATTGAAGACATTGACCAAGCCTTTTCTACATCCAAACTAAAGGGCTACAACTCACCTTTGTCAATTCCCCGTCCTGGAACGGTACAACACTGAAACATAAACCAGTCAAAGGCAAAATTATGTGCCAACAGATAGTCATGTTGTTATACATACAGTGTGATTACATTCTGAACATTTATTAAATTATCTATCTACAAAACAAAGGCACAGCCTGATTCTTAATTTTTATGGTTCACCTTTATCCAGTGTGCCTTTAGGAATAACACTCAGGCTCATACCCAAAAGATCCTGACTGTGATCAAGGATCACCCTGAGATTGAGGACATGATCATCCCGGTCGACGAAGCTCCTCTAGACCTGCCAGTTCAAGACCACTTCACACATATTGTGGCAGACACAGTCTTGGCTGTCAATGATGAACACTACAGCATCATTTATCTGGGCACAGGTACTGTGAATTGCAGAGAATTAGGCCTGTCGCAATAATCAATATATATTGCACAATATATGCACATGACCTCAATAATTTTTGGTGACGCAATATATCGCCCATTATATTTACTTACAAATTAATGTCACTGTGTTTATTGCATTCCACTTGCGCCTGTGTCTTTTGCAGCTTCATTGCTTTAAAATAGCACTAAAATAGTATATTTGCAAACTACACCAGTATTGGAATTTTGATTGACAGACAAATAGCTGATTTTAATATTCTATTCTATTTTGCATAAATAAAAAAAAATAAGACATGACAAACTAAAATCATCAGTTTTAAATGCTACAAGGGAATTTAGGCATCACAATATATGAATGAATAGAAAATGGATATTCGTTTAAAGATTTGCAAAAGATTACATTTAACATTGTTATTAAATTATTAGTATTTTTGAAAATTAATATGTGTTAGATGCAGCAAAGGTAATCTAAATATAAAAATAGAGGAAATGTGCAGAACTATTAAATATCCATTATTATATATTATATGGATATAATGGATTATATTATATAATATTATACTGAGTAATACCAATAAATAAATAAATCTCTACTATCAACAAATATTATACTGTATATGGCACCAATATCTTGCATCCCATATATTTTAATCTCATTCTGTTATTCTTTTTGTGTCTCTTCCAATGCTATTTTTCCCTGTGTCTCCTTTACAGAGAAGGGAAAAGTCCTGAAGGTGCTGCATACCATAGAAGGAGCCTTTATCATAGCACAGTACTCTTTATTCCACGATGATAGTCCCGTTATCAACATGGCCATTGACTCTAAAAAGGTAAAGGCCCGCATTTAAATAAGCTAATTCACTTTAAAACAGGCCAATTTTAGCCTGCAGTGGTAGGACATATTATTCCACTGTAATATATTTAGCTTTCAATCACTATTTTTACTTTACAATCAGAAAGTAATTTAAAGGCTGTACACATAGATATTTAAAAGAGTGCCAGATGGCACCTTTCACCTCTGTATTCTACTTTGTGCCAGGGTCATCTGTATATTGGCACAGAGCTTGAGGTGCAGCGCATCCCCCTGGCTGACTGTGGTCGTTACGGAGCCAGCTGCCAGGAATGCATCCTTTCACGAGATCCATATTGTGCGTGGGATGTGTCCAAGAAGAAATGTACTGCAATCCCACCAGACTACAACATTAGCACTGGGTACATATGGACTCACAAATATCCCAACACAATAATGCATTACTGTTTTTCCTGCTAAGGTAAACTATTTTCTATTCTCCCTATTTGAAATTAGAACCCTTGTTCAGACCCTTGACCACTCCAATGCCTCGGTCTGTGGCTATGCTACAGGTAGGTTGTTCAAAAAGACTTCTAAACGTGCAGTTTTATGATTGTATCTCTGAACACTTTTTAGCACTATTTAACAGTTAATTCTTCTTCCCAAATTCCCACTGAATCCAAGTTTTGGATTTATTCTATATATAGTTTGTATTTTCCTGTTGCTTGACAAAAAAATATTTGTACTGGAGTTTGCTGACCTAACAGGGTTTAATGGAAGTGAAAATTGCTTTTAGAGAATCTTCTGTACAAATGAAAGAACAATAAACACTTAAAACCCTAGTAATAAAAAAAATGAAATCTTGTAGAGCAAGTTTTCTGTGTTCAGAAGAGACACAAATTACCAGTCATATCATGTCTACAACAAAGACATTTAAAATAAATGTAAAATAATAATTTAAAATAAATACTTTTACATTGTTACAAAAATTGTATTTCAAATAAATGCTGTTCTTTTAAACTTTCTATTAATCAAAGAATCCTGAAAAAAATGTAAAAAACGGTTTCCACAAAAATGTGTTAAGCAGCGCAATTGTTTCCGACAATGATGATAAAATAATAATAACTAAAAGTTTGTCAAGACAAACTTTAAGTTGGCTTGAGAAAGCCAGACCAGAAAGTTTGAAATAGATAGATAGATAGATGCTAAGGACCTCAGAGTGGTTGCTAAGGTATTCTAGGTGGTTGCTAGGGTACTTGGAGTGGTTGCTATGACGGTTGCTAGGATAACTGGGGTGGTTGCTAGGGTATTGCTATGCGGTTGCTAGGGTACTTGGGGTGGTTGCTAGGTTGTAGCTATGTGGTTGCTAAGGTACCCGGGTCGGTTGCTAGGGTGTTGCTATGCGGTTGCTAGGGTGCCCGGATCGGTTGCAATGGTGTTGTTATGTGGTTGCTAAGGTACCCTGTTCGGTTGCTAGGGTGTTGCTATGTGGTTGCTAGGGTACCCGGGGTGGTTGCTAGGGTACTTGGGAGGTGTTGCTATGCGGTTGCTAAGGTACTCAGGGTGGTTGCTTGGGTGTTACTATGCGGTTGCTATGGTACCCGGGGTGGCTGCTAGGGTGTTGCTGTATGGTTGCTAGGGTACCCAGAGTGGTTGCTAAGGTGTTTCTATGCGGTTACTAGGGTACTCAGGGTGGTTGCTAGAGTGTTACTAGCATGTTGGTAACGTGATTAGCAAGTCACTAGCATGTTGCTAGCATGTTTCTAACATGATTAGCAAGTCACTAGCATGTTGTTAGCATGTTTCAAGCTTGTTTAACGTTACTAGCATTAAGCTAGCATGTTTCTAGCATGTTTAACAATTTGCTAGCATGTTTCTAGTATGATTAGCAAGTTACTAGCATTTTGTTTCTAGCATGATTAACAAGTTACTAACATGTTGTTTGCATGATTAGCAATTTACTAGCATTTTGTTAGCATGTTATTAGCATGATTCACAAGTTACTAGCATGTTGTTAGCATGCTTATTAAGTTACTAGCATGTTGTTAACATGATTATCAAGTTACTAGCACGTTGCTAGCATTCTAGCATGATTAGCATGTTACTAGCATGATTCTAGCATGATTAGCATGTTACTAGCATGATTAGCACATTACTAGCATGGTGTTAGCACTTTTTAGCATGATTAGCAAGTTACTAGCACGTTTCTAGTATGACTACCATGTTACTAGCATGTTGTTAGCATGATTAGCAAGTTACTAGCATTTTGTTAGCATGTTTATAGCATGATTAGCAACGTTACTAGCATGTTGTTAGCATGTTTCTATGCTAATCCAGCTAAAACCAGTTGATTCAGTAAAAAAACAGCTAAAAAACAGCTAAGACCAGCCTGACCTGCTAAAAAAGTGGCCAAAACCACTTTAACACCAGCTTGGGAGACCAGCCAAAGCAGCCAATCAGCTTAGGCTGGTTTTAGCTGTTTTTTCAGTAGCGAGTTGTTAAGCTTTGCTATAGCAATAGACAGCTTAAATACACCATAAGTCTTATTGTATAAAAGTTTTCACCTCAATGAAAGTCTATGGGATTTTAGGTGGATTTGATAGTCTGGTTTATGAAAACCATAAGCCGGATCAGTTAGAAAAGATATAGCAACCCGAGTCAGACCAGTCTGAAGGTCTGACCCGAGTTTGGTGGTTGTAGCTTTAAAAGTCTAGGAGGAGATACACTTTAAAATTTGGTCTATGAAGAAGAAGAAGAAGAAGACGTTTAAATAGGATTTCAGTAAGTTGGCTTTCTCAAGCCAACTTAATAAAAGCAATAATAATAATAATAAAGTTTCTTGAGCATTAAATCAGCTTATTAGATCATATGACACTAAAGACTGAAATAATAGCTTCTGAAAATTCAGCTTTGCCATCACAGGAATAAATTACAATTAAAATATGTTAATATAGAACATGGTTATTTTAAAGGGGTCATATGATGCGATTTCAAGTTTTACTTTCTCTTTGGAGTGTTACAAGCTGTTCGTGAATAGAAAAGATCCCTAAAGTTGCAAAGACTAAAGTCTCAAACCCAAAGAGATATTCTTTATAAAAGTTAAGACTCGACCACGCCCTCCTAAAACGGCTCGTTCCAACATGCCCCACATGTCTACGTCACTGTGTGGGAAGATTTGCATAACACCGCCCAAATGTTCACACAAAGAAAGAAGGCGTAACTTTGATTCTGGTTGTAGTATTGTTGCCGCCACCGCCGCTATGTCGTGAAGACGCTGTGTGTTTCGGTGTGAAAGCGAAACTACTTTGTTACGTTTTCATATTAAAATAATTTTCCACTGACGATTCAAACGCGAGTTTTGAGCAGTGTAGAGTAGCGCTTGTTGTTTGTCATTTCTCCGATCACAACATGGTTTTATGTTTATGCGGCGCGATATGCAATGCAACGCGTAAAAAGACAGTATAAGTCATTATAATCAGTAATTATGTCCCCACTGGATGCAACAAATGGCTCGTTTGTAATGGGTTTTATTGGTTTTGTGTCATCGCGCCGGGACACGGCATCACAGTATGGTAAGGAGCGTAACATTTCCGTCACACGCTTGAGGCATTCGGCCAATCACAATGCCCTGGATAGCTGGCCAATCAGCATACACCTCGCTTTTCAGACTGATGAGCTTTGTAAAAATTTACGCATTTCAGAAAGGCGGGGCATAGAGGAGAAACAATAATGTACAGTATGTGGAAAATAATGTGTTTTTTTAACCTTAAACCGCATAAACACATTGCATTACACCAAATACACAAAATAATGTTCTTTTTAGCAACGTCATATGACCTCTTTAAAAAGTTGAATTTATTTTAATAATATTACTGTTTTTACTGTATTTTTAGTCAAATTAATACAGTTTCAGTGAGCATAAGAGACTTCTTCCAAAAAATCTTACTGATCCCAAACTTTTGAACAGTAGTGTATATATAAAATTAAAGTATTTTTATTCAAAATGACTTAATCACACAAAGATATTTCCTATCATCCTGGGCTACAGCTCCTAAGGCACGTAGCACCATCCCCAAACAGGTTTTAGTGGATAAAGATGGACCCGTCCTGCTACCGTGCCCCGTGCGCTCCTATCATGCCACTTACCGCTGGGAGAAAGACAACTGCATCAAGCAATATCCTTGCACCATCTCCGGCTCCTCCTGTGTGCTGGTGCCCACCCCTGACCTGCCTCTGAAGGAGGGCGTGTTCCGCTGCATGGTGGAGGAGAGCGGCCTGCAGCAGGAGGTGGTGTCCTACAAGCTGGTGTTCAACAGTGGGCCCCTCTCCACCTCGCTAGCCTCCACCCTGGGGTCGACTCTGCTGCTGGCTGCCACGGCACACTGGCTCCTGTAGATCCAATGAATCCTGGGGGCTCAAAAGGAAACAAGTTTAATACTAAGGTCAGCAGAGCATGAGTACCTAGGCCGGTCCGACTAAACCCCAGGGGAGCAGCTGGTCTCTGTATAAACTGTGTTTCTTGTTTCTTATTCAGAGCAATCACAAGTTTATTCTTTTCTTTAAAGGGCCGAGAAAATGCCTGAAATCGTCTCATTTTGCAAAATGCTTTATCATACCAAACTTCAGTGTTATGTAAAACATGAACTTATGTAAGTGAACTATTTCATGCCATCAGCCTGAAAGCATTTAGACTTATATACTGTATATTCAATATCTAATACATGAGATTTGTACTGCATAATACATTGCTTGCAAAATGTTAGTGCCATCATTCAGATGTTTCAGAGGACTGCTTTGCTAACTACACTCAGACATGGAATCCAGATCAGTTATTGGTTAATTTTCTTAGCAACACCACTTTTCAGAAAGGTTCAGTTACATAAGTTAAGAATAGGGTATCGCGAACTAACTATGAAGAATTTTTACAGCATTTAGCAACCAGGGTTAATTTACTATTATTTAATATTTAATATGCTATTATTCATTGTCAATTCATGTTTGTTCATAATACATTAACTAGACAGACTGCACACTATATAAAGGTGAAAAAAGTAAAACAACATTTCTTCATTTAAACAACTTGAGATGCTAAAATGCATTAGTGTATGCAGAAATTAACATTTTATTCATTTATGTGGTTCATTTTTAGTTCATGTTACCTAATGATTTAACCAAATTGAACCTTATTTTAAAGTGTTACTCTTTCGTTGGTATGTAGAATTGCTACAGATGTGTTAGATGTGCGAGTACATGCTGAAACATGAATATATTGTTATAAATCCTTCGACTTTTCCATTGTGTGCCATTAGGACAGTTCTGAAGCCTTAAAACAAGGATGAGTCCCTTTTAAGCTTTAAGGGTCACATCCTAAGCACAACTTGCAAACTGAGCAGAACCTGCAGAATCTGCTGGCTTTGTCTTTCCATTGAGTCAATCCGACCTAACGCAGAATGTTATTTCAGCACGATTTCAGGAGTACATACAGCTGACATACAGTTTACGCCTGTTTGGCAAGTTTGAAATCACTCACCAACCACAATTAGAATTGTGAACTGAAAAACAAATCCATGCAAAACTGACACAGATTCAACTACTTTTGCTCAGTGGATGGACAGGAAGAATAACCAGAATTCATAATGACCGGATTTTACAGTTTATCTCAGTACATCACTGTGTTTAACAAACAGACATAAACACTCTTGCATCCTTGATGCCTGTACTTTTCATGCTCATGAAATACATTTTTACATTTCGCGGTCAATAAGCTTCAGTACATGTAACATGGAGTTGCATTTTGTAGTCGCAGTGTACAGAGGCTTAATTATGCTGTAGTTTTAATTGTAATGCTCTGCTTATGCTGTTCTTCACCATTGCTGCCTATGGGAATAGGACGTATTCCTGATGGATCTAAACAGTCATCCTGCACTAAGGTGCTCAGAGTGTAAATCTGTCAGCATTTTACTTCATAACATTTCATTTGATCATGACTTCAGCCAATCAAACTTTTGGGTGGTTATCTTATACACATTACAGAAAGGAACAAATAAAAACGCTCATACAAGAACATTCTAGCACACTTCTAATCATCATCTGCACCTCTAACACACCCCACCACTATTTCTGTTTTTCTCCCTCTTTCTCACTCAGAGCAACTGACCCCAAATGCCAATTTTGTCTTTAACCTTGCTCTTTCCTCACTATATTTTGGGAGCAGGACAATGGTGTTATGAAAGAATTGATCACTAATTAACCAGAAGTGCATTGTGTTTTCAGATGATGGATGTTGTGACTTTGTTTTTGTATTTAGTTATGTAGTTATGTCTTGTGACGCTCTGTTTCTTGCTCTGCTGTTGACATACTGTAATCTGCCAATCCTAAACTAAAAGGAGCCGGGGTTTTTTTTTTTTTTTTACCTCAGTTTGAATCTCTGGGTTGACGTTTGGGCAAACCTAAGTGTCATAAATGAAAGCCATGTAAATAGTCCTGGGACTGACTGCAGTGTTGCTTTACACATTAGTGCATTAGCTATATATGGTAGCGTGTGCTAACCTTCTGTTTGCATGCATGCTGAATGCCACAGCACTGTCACCCTCTCTGTGTACTCGTACCTCTGTCTCTTGGCCTAATGTGCTACACTGCACTAAATGAAGGAACGTTGTAGTGCCAAACCAATGTTGTGTCATTTTCGTCAAAGAGCTTTTCTAACTTTTCCACTGTGCTTCGAAGCCAAACGTTTACCTTTCTTGACACACATATAGCAGTATCTAAATATACACACACCGACACACGCACACACTCTAAAATACTTCTGGCAGTGTAAGTGACACAGGGCCCTTCAATGTAGATGACACAAAGTAACAACTGTAAACAACTGTTACATGTTATGTTTTTAAATTATTTTTTTTGCTCTGTAACTGGTGTTTAAGGCCATTGTGTTTTTATTGTCTGTCTGTCATTTGCTATGCCTTGTGTTTTTTCGCCCGAGACTTGTGGCAGGGAGTGTTTTCTCATGTAGGGACGCTCAGCACGGTTTACTGCTCAAAAGCATCTTGCAGTTGTGTAAGCTTGCACTTAATAATTAATATTTATAACTGGTTACCAAAAGTCATAGCAATTTTTTTCTAAAGGGATTGAAGACATTGTAAAATACAGAAACATATAATTATACATTAAATGTTTCCCTGAAAATGTGCATTAAAATAAATGAAAAAATTGACTGTATTTGTTTTTTATTGTTTAGCAATATTGTTTTATTATGTTTTTACTATTTTAACATGTACATGGTACAGAATGCTGTTGTGCAATTTGTGGTAAATTGTTGTTTTTCACATCAATAGAACATGTTCAAACATTAGGGAACATGCAAAAAAAAATGCACCAATGATCTGTAAAAGGGTACATTAAAACAATCAAAAGCTGTAATATGGCACAAAACATTGCTATTACACAATGTAGAAACACCTCAATGAGGGAATTTCCTTGGCAATAGGCATTCAACATGTGGTCACATGTTAATTTAGCAGATGTCTTTGGCAAAGGCAAATAGTGCACTAATTGTAATGACTTCTAGAACACCCTGAGGGTGTGCAGGGCTCTGGGATCAACCCTGCAATCTTTGTGTTAGCAGCCCAGATCTTTAAAGGAACAGTTCACCTAAAATGAAATGTCTGCCATAATTTATTAAGGAATAGTTCAATGAAAAGTTAAATCTGTTACACATTAAATGGTTATATTTACACTTCTTTCTTCGTTAAAACACACACACACACACACACAAGATATTGTGAAGAAAGTTAACTTCCATTGTATGAACCAAAATATCTCCACAGAAAGAAAGAAAAAGAAGTTACACATTTTTGGAATAACATGAGGGTGAGTAAATGATGACAGAATTTTCAGTTTTGGGTGGACTACCCTGTAAACCTCATGTTGTTCCAAACATATGCCTGTTGAGAGATGCTGAGAGAAGAACCAAACTTAAGCAAAACACTGTAAATCCCACTATTTCTTAAATTGAATTGGTTACTAAGTTGTCTACTTCAAACAATATACACATAAGCTAAAATGTTTGTTTGCAAAAAAAAAAACACGGTTTACTGCTCAAAAGCATCTTGCAGTTGTGTAAGCTTGCACTTAATAATTAATATTTATAACTGGTTACCAAAAGTCATAGCAATTTTTTTCTAAAGGGATTGAAGACATTGTAAAATACAGAAACATATAATTATACATTAAATGTTTCCCTGAAAATGTGCATTAAAATAAATGAAAAAATTGACTGTATTTGTTTTTTATTGTTTAGCAATATTGTTTTATTATGTTTTTACTATTTTAACATGTACATGGTACAGAATGCTGTTGTGCAATTTGTGGTAAATTGTTGTTTTTCACATCAATAGAACATGTTCAAACATTAGGGAACATGCAAAAAAAAATGCACCAATGATCTGTAAAAGGGTACATTAAAACAATCAAAAGCTGTAATATGGCACAAAACATTGCTATTACACAATGTAGAAACACCTCAATGAGGGAATTTCCTTGGCAATAGGCATTCAACATGTGGTCACATGTTAATTTAGCAGATGTCTTTGGCAAAGGCAAATAGTGCACTAATTGTAATGACTTCTAGAACACCCTGAGGGTGTGCAGGGCTCTGGGATCAACCCTGCAATCTTTGTGTTAGCAGCCCAGATCTTTAAAGGAACAGTTCACCTAAAATGAAATGTCTGCCATAATTTATTAAGGAATAGTTCAATGAAAAGTTAAATCTGTTACACATTAAATGGTTATATTTACACTTCTTTCTTCGTTAAAACACACACACACACACACACAAGATATTGTGAAGAAAGTTAACTTCCATTGTATGAACCAAAATATCTCCACAGAAAGAAAGAAAAAGAAGTTACACATTTTTGGAATAACATGAGGGTGAGTAAATGATGACAGAATTTTCAGTTTTGGGTGGACTACCCTGTAAACCTCATGTTGTTCCAAACATATGCCTGTTGAGAGATGCTGAGAGAAGAACCAAACTTAAGCAAAACACTGTAAATCCCACTATTTCTTAAATTGAATTGGTTACTAAGTTGTCTACTTCAAACAATATACACATAAGCTAAAATGTTTGTTTGCAAAAAAAAAAATGTTTAAACACAATATGATAACGTAATCTGAATCACAGTTAATTCACTATATTCTATAATTCACTATATCACTATATTTTAATTCACTATATTCTAAAAATCAGGTTGCACTTATCTTCTTAAACTTAAAGGGATAGCTTACAGAAAAATGGGAATTCTGTCATCATTTCACCCTCATGTCATTGTATGACTTCTTTGTCGGTGAAACATAAAAGTAGATATTTTGAGAAATGTCATACTTTTTCATACAATGGAAGTCAATGTTACAAAGCTTTTTGGTCATTTGACATTCTTCAAAATATCTTTTTTTGTGTTACACCAGAAGAAGAAAATCATACAGGTTTGGAACGACATGAGGGTGACTAAACAATGACAGAATATCCATTGTTGTAGGCCTACCCCTTTAATGAGATTTTTTCCCAGAACGGCCGTTTCTGTTTCACTCACCACAGCGAACCATTAACGGGGCGGAACATCGCCGCTTGCAGTTTTAGCACAGACAGCACCGCCAGGCACAGACTGAAGGAAGGAGCTCAGTGAACGCTGATACGATGTGCTCGAACGACCCCTGAACATTTATCATATCTAAAGGGACCACTGGAACGCCTGGACCAACTTTATAAGTCATCTTGCAAAGTTTGAAAACTCGAAACCTTTTCCAGTTCGACAGAGGTGAGCATTAATTTGTCTTATTATAAAAAGAAATACGCTATGCTATATGTTTTCTTCCCACAAGGATTATTCATGAATCATTAAAACAGAACGATGAAAATCTATATACCTGCCATGTGCAAATTAAGCCTAGCTATACCGACTTAAACCATTGTGGTCCGTATGCAGAGTTGGGCAAGTTACTTCCAAAATGTAATACATTATATATTACTAGTTACTGTCTTTTGAAAGTAATTAGTTACGTTACAATATTACTGTCTCTGAATTGTAATGCGTTACACTACTTTTGAGTTACTTTTGAGTTACTATCCACATTAGTATTATAAAATGCCAAAATGTAGTTTAATGCTGCTCATTCTACATCCAGTGGAGGGTAACGTGGTAGGTTAATATTATTACTTTTGTAATGCGTTACTCCCAACACTGTCCGTATGTAACTAAACTAAAATCCACCTGTGTTTGTATTAGCTGCCAGTGTACGTTTGTTTGTCTTTAAAAGTTTATCAAATTAGTCAAACTTTAAAGCGTAGACTGGTGTACGGAAGCAACTTTATAAACACCGTTTTATCCCTCCTCGTCGATTTTCTCCCTCCTGCTCATTTTTATTGCCACAATATTTATTCTAGTGTCAGTGCGATATAACCTAACTTTACCCTACCAAACGCTGAACATAATTTCCGCGAGCTTCACATCCCTAAATACCTCCAAATGCTTGTTGACTGCTGAAGGACTCTTGAACTCTTGCGCGCCTCAGATGTGCTTTTTCCCAGGTCAAACCACAATTCTCGGTCAAACACACTTTGTGTACAATATAGCTGAGTAGGGGAGAGTGGGTACGGTTGCAACCATTTTTGCATTTCCTTAATTTTCTCAGAGATGTTTTGTATTGGAAAGCCACATTTTATACATAAAAGCCACCTCTGTCAGCTACCACCCACACTGCCGTAACATGTCTACTGTACATATGAAAATATACATACAAGTTATACTTGAATAGCCAAAATCAAATGTTGCAACTGACTCATAACAGGGGTCATAAGTTAAACTGCCATTAAGTTAAACTGGCTGTATAAAAACAAAGAATAGTAAAAAAAAATAATAATAAATCAACTAACAACAATGTTGTTAAATCCTGCTTTGCCGATGAAACATTGAATCACTTAATGGAACTCGGCAGGGAACTTTTTTTGGGGGTGCAAGGAACTAAAGACAATAATGAAGGGTCTGTTCTAGAGGGCAGAGCTACTTTAGGTTAATAATTTCCTCTTTCTGTCCTTGGCAGGAATATTGATTTGCGCAGTAAGTCACATGGCAAAAAGGTGTTTAATTATTACTGTGCATGAGCATTGCACTCTCATTAGTACTTTTTAAGACATTTCGACTGACTAATCACTCTTTCCGGCAGATGAAGTTGGAGGGTCTATTGTGGATTCCTGCTTCTTCCACAAACCCAGACTTTGAAAAACTACAGGTTCTCATGTAAAAGGTAAAATGTGCTTCTTAATTTATTTAACAGGATGTTTGCCATATTTTCATATTCACATAGCAACATTAGGATTGATTTTGAGATACAGCGGGTAAAATAAGTATTGAACACGTCACCATTTTTCTCAGTAAATATATTTCTAAAGGTGCTGCTGACATGAAACAGATGTCGGTAAAAACCCAAGTAATCCATACATACAAATAAAACAACAAATAGAAATTAAGAAATTAAGTAATGTGTAATAAAATAGAATGACACAGGGAAAAAGTATTGAACTACTGAAATTTATTTAACACTTCGTACAAAAGCCTTTGTTGGTAATGACAGCGTCAAGATGCCTCTTGTATGGAGAAACTAGTCGCGTGTATTGCTCAGGTGTGATTTTGGCCCATTAATACTTTTTCCCTGTGTCATTGCATTTTATTACACAGAACTTAATTTCTGAACTTACAGTATTTGTTTTGTTTTGTTTTCATGTATGGATTACTTGGGTGGTTATGGACATCTGGTGAAAATTTCATGTCAACAGCACCTTTAGAAATATATTTACTGAGAAAAATGGTGACGTGTTCAATACTTATTTTACCTGCTATATGCTCACATTTTCAAAAGTCAACATTAGTTGTTGTACACAAAGTGTATTGTGAGAACGTGTTGGTAATGACAGCGTCAAGATGCCTCTTGTATGGAGAAACTAGTCGCGTGTATTGCTCAGGTGTGATTTTGGCCCATTCTTCCACAGAGTCTTCACCTTTAGAAATATATTTACTGAGAAAAATGGTGACGTGTTCAATACTTATTTTACCTGCTATATGCTCACATTTTCAAAAGTCAACATTAGTTGTTGTACACAAAGTGTATTGTGAGAACGTTTCATTTT